GTTCACTTAATGTTAAATAATTATGAACATGCCATTTGAGGAATGGAGAGAGAATTACCTGTACAACATGCCAATGTCTGTGTCCTAATAAAGTGCTTAAACCCTGAGAATCTAAAATTCCATCTGCAAATGTGGCCCTTTCCCTGATGGATTTATGGTCTGAGTGTGCTGAAGTATATCTGGGATTCTGGGCCTGCGTTGCATCCCCACAGTTCAAATACAAGCGATCTTCTCCTTGAAGAAGGACCTGCTCCTGGTTACTCTACATAAAAAAAAAAGACTCCCAGTTACTATAGAGAAAATAAATACCATGCTTCATTTAACACAGTCCTACCTTATATAATTAAGAATATTTTTCCATCTTTGACACATCAGTGATACACACAATACAAATAGAGGGTGATCCTGTTTTCAAAACATCTGACCTGTAAATGCACACTCTTCCTTTCATCTGTTTTATTAGAGAGGCATTTTTAAGACAAAAGTAGTAAAAAGGCCAATTTAGCTGTTGGGAAACCAATTTAAAACCTGAAAGCCTAACAGAAAAATAGATGAAATCTGGAGACAGTCTCTAAAGCAGAAATTATCTATGAACACTTACCATGCAAGGGTTAACAGTAAGTGCACTCTTGATGAACTGAAATTGCAGAATACCAGACTGACAAGCCTTACTCTTTGCATCAGGCTCACATCCCACATTCTGAGAACAACTGCCATCGATCACCCACAGGTGATATCCTTCTGAACCCCACGTCTGAACACATGTAAAACAAGGAAAAATAATCCCAATCAATTTAGACCTTCAGAGAACAAGTGATGTAAGAACATTTTGCAAAAGATCACTGCTCTGATCTGGTCACAAAGCTAACAGAGAAATGCTATATTTTGCTCTTCTGAAATCAGCAACTCCAGCAGGAGCCATATAGTTGGCAGTGAAGACACAAGGAACTGAAACTGGCTACTGAAGTTCTCTCTTACACAAAAGCTAGAAAACAGTATTTGGAGAAAGAGGCTACAGAACCCATAACCTATACCTTTAAAAAGGAAGTGAATAAAAGAGTCATTTGTTAAACTTAATCTCCTAAAATACTAATTACCCATTTTGGCAAATACTTTTTTTTTTGGAAGCCAGTTTCAACAGATCAAGTGTTATCAAAAGCATGAAAAATATTTTTTTAAGAGTACAGATTTACATAGATATTGCATCACTCAACTGAAGTGTGAGCAGCTAAGAAACAAACTATGAAAGAAAATCAAAGAAGCATCACCAGTACCAACTTCTGAATGTGGTGCTGTTTTGACCATCTCTTACTTGAAAAAAAGATTCCTTAACAACTATGTGTTTGTCACTGAGGCAGTCTAAGCAATACCAGTTTGTGAATATATTTAAATAGACTACACATTGGCAGCACTGACTGGAGGAAAAGAGCTTACTGGACACTTCTGTAGAAACAGACATATCCCTTGCCAAATGTATCTTGGGAGGCTAAAAGGTGGTACACACCAATAGTGAGAGATGAAGTCAACCAGCCATTTAGTCTACAGGTGCATTACAGACCCAAACCACTGCTGAAATCAGTGGGATACAGCCAGCCAAAGCTAATTTATATTCTAAAAAAATAATTTGCAGCACTGCATGACATTAACAATATAATGCAGCTCAATGTAGCCAAAATAATGCACAGGTACTTCAGTTTGCAAAACAGCTCCCAGCTGATTTCTAGGAGACTGCAAAGAGCTCACTGGATTACAAACAGGAGTGCGGTGCATGACAAATGCTGTTTACATCAGACATTTTTTCAGTAAGTCTACACAGTGTTTCAGCCTGCAATATGCTGGGAAAGAGGTTCCCCACTGCCTCAGACATCCTTCTTCCTGCCACTGGTTATTTCCTTCTTTGAGGCTCCTTCAGCTCACTTGTCTTAGGTAAACATGCAGATCCTTTTCCATTTTTCCCTTCAAAGGCAGAGATGCATAGTGCTGCTGTTACTTTTTGAACAGGTATCAATTTAGGTGTTCAGGTGACAAACAGTTGGAAAAAAACAAGGAAACGCATATAAATTCCAATTTATTCAGCTGACTCGTCAGACTTCAGAGCCCTTGTTTAATGCAATCTGTGCATCATGTGTCTGGACAAGAGAAAATAGATTAGAACAGGGGTGGGCAAAATACAGCCCACAGGATGGATCTGGCCTGCCAGGCATTTTCATGCGGCTTGTGGCACCCCCTCTCCCCCCCCCCCCCCAACAAGTTGCATCCTGCTGAGCCCTTTCACCCATGTGGGTGGGAGTGAGGTACCCACATGTACAACCCCCCAACATACCCTATTGGGCCTCGCTCCCACCCTTTGCCCAGTCAGCAGCTTCCAGGCAGGGCTCCTGCTGCAGCCAGAACCTGCTCGCTGGGGGGCAGCAGGTAGGGAAGCAGCATGGCTGGGTGGGGAGCTGCAGCTGGGTGGAAGTGGAAGCGCAGAACAGAGCCTGCACCCAGAGGGGCAGCACAAGTGCAGAGCTTAGCTGGGCACGGTGTGTGTGTGTGTGGGGGTGGGGGGTAGGGGGTCTCCCACACACGCCTCCCATGGCATGCAGCCCAGCTGCTGGCGGCAGCAGCAGGCAGGGAGGTCAGGGCACTTCTATCACAGGGGCTCCATGCCGCACACCTGCAGGTCCACACTCGCAGCAGGAAAGCCCCATGCTGGACTCCGCGGATAAGCAGAGGGCAGGGCTCCCTCCACTCCCGGCATAGTCCGGGGAACCACGTAGCAGGGAGGGGGCAAGCAGCAGGATCCAGTGCAGAGCTTCCCCTGCTATGAGTGCTGGAGCTGCGGATGCACAGCAGAGCCCCAGTGATGGGGCAGGCTCCACTCCCTCCCTCTGCGCAGCACTGGCCAGAGCTGCGTCTGCACTGGGCATGAGCACCCTGACCTCTCTGCCTGCTGCCAGGCAACGGGAGCTGCACGCCACAGGGGAAGTCTGTGGGGGGTCTCTACACCGCCCACCCTTCCTCATACCCACACCCTGCCCCCACAGCCCCATCAACACATACAATAAACTCTCCAGTACCAGCACCTTACAAGCTGGCATGCTCTGTTAACCGGCATGCCAGCTTGTAAGGAAAAGTGAAACCAGAAGTGCCCACTGTGGCACATCCCGTTTCTCCAAGCCCCAACAGCCCAGGGCAAAGCAGCCTGCACTGCTGAGCCCCCACGGCCTGGGGGCATAATGGGTTGCATGCAGGGCCTGCCTCCCTGTTCAGCGGGGCCCACAGAAGGGACGGAGGGATGTGGCAGGAGAAGCAGGAGCTGGGGCTGCTCAATTAACCAGCATATTTTGTTATCCGGCATCCCCCATTCCCAGGGGATGCCGGATAAGCTTTTACTGTACATACACCCCAACATACCCTATGACCACCTACACAGCCACACTCACAACCCTGCCACGCACTCCCATGCCCCACCATACACACACACACACGCACACACACTCTCTAAAAGAGTGACACTTTATTTTTGAGTTATTATGCAGTTCCTTCTATATATAGTACACAATCACAGGTAATGACAAATATTTTTTGTAATAAAATTAAAATATATTATAGTAGGTGTTTGACTTCTAATGTATGATTTGGTTTTTTTTTCTGGTTCTACAATGGCAACCCCCCCTCCCAAAAGGAGTATGGGGGGGGGGAAGGAAGGAAGGAGAGGGACTTCTGGTGGCAAAGGTCAGGGGTTAGGAGGCAGGACATCTGGTCCCAATGTGGTGGCCAGGGCAACTGTCAAGGGGTGGGGCTACCTACGCAGCCCCAGACAGCTCACCAAACTTGTTAAGCAGCTCTCTGCTCAAAATAATTGCCCACCCCTGAATCAGAGAGTACTTATAGTGTATAATCCTTTACTTTGGTCAGGACAGTCTCCTTCAAGTCTTGTAAAATGCTCAGCATACCATTGATAAAGTACTGCCCTGTAATTCAAAAAGGTGACAACCTGGTGCTAAGTGTAAAAACTGCCATAATGGGTTAGACTTTCATAGACATTAGGGCTGGAAGGGACCTCAGAAGGTCATCGAGTCCAGCCCCCACCTGAAGGGCAGCAAGTCAGCTGAGGTCATAGGACCCCAGCAAGATAAGCATCCAATCTACTCTTGAAGGTGTTCAATGCTTGAACCACCTCCAATGGCAGGCTGTTCCAGACCTTGGGGGCTCGGACAGTAAAGAAATTCTTCCTTATGTCCAGCCTGAAACGGTCTTGCAGTAGTTTATATCTATTTTATCTTGTCATCCCTTGGTGAACGTTCCCCCAGAAACTGGTGGTCACCCCTGATAAACTTATAGGTGGCCATCAGGTCACCCCTGAGCCTGTGC